CCCCCCCCCCCACCGTGATAAATAAAGACTTGTCCCTTTGTAATTAGTCTCTCACCTCTACTTCCACGATATATAACAAAGAAATTCCAAGGGAATCAGCTTCTTTTTTCTCTTCCTCTGTTACAGGCTTGTCCATCTTAACGATCCTTTTTACCTTCTCACATTCTTTGGCATTGTCGAAAATGAATCGCAACTTATTACCGTTGCAAATAATCGTCTCTATATCCGCTGAAATAGTTGAATGACACTTCATTAAACAATTAGAGCACAAATTTTCCAGTGATTTTTTTTTTTTTGCATTCTGTTACACTTAACGGATGATGTGGGAAAAAAATTAACCCCCTATGCCTCATTACTAGTTCTCCAAACTGTCTGCCATACAATTCTTATGACGTTACTTCGGAGAATGTGGTGTCAGTTGGATCAACCAATAACCCCCCAATTGATAGTCCTCTTTATTCTTATCACTTGCGTGCCAGAAGTTGTATCGATATTGTAATGAGAAATTCTGTCTTGGTAACTCATGGCCATAGCTACGTCAAGCCCAACACATTAAAAGTATCTTTCAGCTGATATTCAAGAATGTTCTTCATTTGTATGGAAAAAGCCAAAGGAACAAGTACGTTTTATCCAAAAACAATGAAGTGAGACAAGGATACCCATTACACGCAAATTAAACTTTTACCCGCTAAAACCTTGATTCTATTATTTGCGACCACAAACTTGCACACCAAGATTGCGTATTTCACTATGGGACACCGAGCCAGCGGGACGAAGAAGACGGCGCATTAAGTTTGCTTAAGTGGCAGATGCCGTTCCATTTTATTCCCTAAAGAAAACAAAACCGGGTTTCCCTCAAAATTAGAGAGTGCCCTATGTTTTCCGTCTCTGATCAGAACTGTGGTTACAAATGTGTGATCCACTCCCTCTCAGTCCCATCATTAATAATTTGATAGAAATCTTACCATGGTTAAGGATATAAACGCAGCCTTCTGGTCCATGTGTATCGTAAATTGGCACAGAAATCATGGAATACATCTGACAAGCCAAGTCTGCTAAGTCCCACTGAAAATATTAAAAGATGCCAGGTACGGATTTTTACCCCGGATTATTCATACAGATCTATTGACTGAGTTTAGTTTTATTACAACTGACTGATTGTCAGACTGGCTGACTCACAAGCTGACTGACTGATTGACCGATGGTCTGACTGACAGACTCATATAGTGACAGACTGACAGACTGACTGACTGGCGGACTGATTATCAGATTGACTGATCTGAACTGATAGACTAACAGAGATAACACGACCATTGATAACGTGTTTCAACCACAGCCCGCATGGACAGACCAACCAGCCGACTAACTAGTTGACCCCCCGCCTAACCCTCCTCTCCCTCTAGATCCGCCACTGGCCGGAACTTTGGAGAAAGCAGTTTGGGGGTCCGTTGTAAGTGGGGTTTTTGCAAACCCCAGTAACCCACCCGATCACTATTAAAATGATTATCACACGTACGCTTACCTCAACACAATTAGGACCATAGATTCCAACAAATGTATTTTGAGAAGGTTCACAACCAAGATGTACCAAGCCTGAACCAAAGTTAGTGGCGCGGTCGTTTACCTGTCAAAAGCAGTAAAAAAAAAAAAAAGCACGCACATAGATGAGAACACAAAGCAAGTTCAAGGTACTTATTGAGCTCAGAGGTTCAAATTGTTTGAACCTGGCTCACTGTCTTGATTGCTAAAGGAGTTACATCTCAGTTCACGCATCTTACAATACTCTCGGCAGAGGTATTTTCTAGACACCAGGTTATTTTTACATCTTCTTCGGTTTGAGATTGCAAAGAGCCATCTAACCGTTCAAAACATTTTCTTCAAAACTGCCATTTTAATACCTGGCTGAACACGCAAAACAACGACAACATGAAGGGGAAGGGATTATGTAACGCAATCTTTCTTCCACGACTTTATCGGAAAGGCGTGACGAGCTTCAACCCAAAGCTTCCTGCACTAGAACCGTTCTCGACCCTTTAAGTCCCACTAGTGACCAAAACAGAATTTCTCCTTACTCTAATAGTACAATATCAAGCAGAAATGAAACGAGAATAAAGACAAATATCAATTAGGGGATTACAAGTTGATCCAATTCCAAATCCTCCAAACTAATATCACAAGAACTGTGTGGCAGACAGTAAGGAGAATTACTAATGAGATCTTGGGAGTTAAAGGGTTAACTCATTACCTCTTTATATGTGATCCACTGATACTTGTTATCAGGTCCCCCTCTTGTTCCCAAACATGGCTGATCGCCTGTGCGAAACGAACTTGCATGTTAGAATTACAAAAATTCAGCTGGAAACAAATTCTCCGCGACGGAAACTCGCAGGGGCATGGGAACTATTTGGGAGTGCGGGGCACTGGGCTTATCGTTTGGGTGTACAGCCCGCGAAAATGAAGACCGCAAAATTATTTACTGCAAATGCGTTTACAACTTTAACCCATATCACTTTATCCGGCATTAAACGCCGCAGCCTTTATAATACTGTATTTTTTGTGGTTTAAGCAATGCAGTCTTTTCCTGTGACAGATTGAATGATGTGAAACCAGAAGAGCCATTGTTTCCAGTTTGAGTTGAAACTCGGATTGTTTTTTTTTGATTTTTTTTTTTAAGAGAGAGAAAAACCCCGGAACCAGGAAGAAAACTAACTCTCTACCTTTTACATCCTTACATCAGAATCCATATTCTCTAAACTCGTCTCTATACATTTCCTTTGGTACTGACACGGAGAATTCGTTTAACAATCAAAGCTTCTTAAGTAGGCGATCATTTCCTATCTTCTCAAGAACTTAATGTTAGATTCAGAGGTGAAACTATGTGGAGAAATTAGATGCTGGTCACTTTTAAGGGTTAAAGGATTAAAGTGGCAAGAAAGAGACAACAAACAAACAAACAACAAAATCAGCCAAAAAGACATTAGACTCGGAAATAGTGAGTTGGTGGGGGAGGGGGGGGTGCGTGCAATGAAGGAGGGACGAGTGCTCTCTCCACCTCGCAATCTCTCATTCTATTTCTTGTAACGAAGTGCTCACCTGAGTTTTGAACAGTTCGAAGGAAGCCTTCATACGGGGTTGTAACGCCATCAAAAAATGTTGTAATCAGCTCCTTTCTTAAAGCATTTCGTCTGGCTCCGTCGTCTACACCCCCCTGAAAACGTTTAACCAGTAAAAGAGAATTTTACATTTACGTTTAGTTTTTGAGGGGAGAGGGAGCCGGTATCGAAGATAATCGTAGAATTTGGGGGTGGGGGTGGGGACGGGGGCTGTGGATGCTTTTAAGTATTAAAATAGTTTCTCCGTTGTGCCCTTGGTACTATATTGAATTTTATTCGCTTAGAAACCGTAAAAAGCATTAAGGTGATAATTTCGTCTCCAAGCGAATCAAACAAGTCTAGTCACGGATCAAAAATTTCATTACGGCCAATTTTCAGTAATGAATTCATTTCGCATTGTTTTTCAGTTTCAAAGTTCGCGGGAGGTGTGAAAACAAACAAGTTTTTCAGAAACTTTGAAAACGCGATGAGTTCTACTTTTTAGGGGAACATGGTCGACTACGTCAAGTTAACATACAAGTTAGATTACACGGACTAACCCCAATGTCGTTGCATAATTTTGTGTCAATAACAAGCGATTCATAACCAGATATTGAGGTCAAATTAGAAACCTCTCAAAACAAGCTGTTGTAAGAATCCAAGTTGCTCTTAAGAATTTACATAGCTGAAATATTTAGCCTGTTTCAAAGTCACAACCTCATAAGGAAAATTATTGTTGTAAGGCTGCATTTACAAAACATTCGCCTTACGGCAGAATCCAATTTAAAAACCAAAACGAATTTCTACGACTAGTAAAACGAAAGCTTCCAGTCTTTGCGTTTTGTAGGAACATCACATTTTGCATAGAAATTTCAACGAAGCGTCCCTTGCAGCACTACACCGTATTGGAAACTCTGACATGGTACTACCTACTTCAAGTGCCTGAAATCGTTTTACTTTCGTCCTAAAACAAACATTAGTGGGTACAGGCTTATTCAAAATTCTAAATAATCGCAATATTTGCTTATCGTCAAAAGCGATCTTAGTTTTACAACGCGCCATGGCATGAGCTCTTTCATTATTACATGATCAACAAAGTCAACTTTAAATTTGCAACAAATTTGTTTGTTTTTCCTCTCCTACATAACTTAAGTAAGAAAAATAAATAATTTGGTCAACTCACCTCAACTTTTACGGATTGGTTTTCCAAGTCCATCATGGACACCTATAGTTGTTTGTCAGTTTACAAGTGAAACAAATTTAGAATGTAAATGACGCCTGTATCTGGTTTTGTTAATTAAGCATAATGCATTGTTTGGTGGAGCATGACAAATCTATTATGTTGGCCCCAACAACAAAACGATAACGTGGAAATACTCCAGCAACGGAAAAAAAGATATTTTTTTGCCCTTTTGAAAAAAAAAAAAAATCCAAATTGCGAGTAAATAATAAAATGGTGTAAAAAATAATAATCTTGATACCTCCGAAACCCAAAGAGTCGTGAAAAACTATGTAAAAGCACAATCGAGATCAAAAGCAATCCTCCATAAAGCTTGAGGCATTACAGAAATTTGCACGGCTATTGGCGCATACGAAATATTTCTTCCACAATCGGTTTGTGAAATGAAACTATTTTCTTAGAGAAATTACAACAAAATAGAGATTAGCAGTATCCAATAGTCAGTGTTGTTTTCCTCCTAAACAAAGAACCTCTTAAAATATTACGATGTTCCGTTCAAACCATGCACGAATATGACGTACAACTTCAATTGAGTACAATATCACGCAATGAAGTGTATCAGATAATAATTTGCCTCAAAATAAATGTTTTTCTGTTTTGTGTGCCAAAAGTGTTGCAATATATGGTGGAGATGGTGGGGAGATAGTGTTTAAGAAGTCTTTACATACGCTAAACCCTTGTTTCACGAGAAAACTTATTAAAAATTGGGTTTTATGATCGTGAGTAGAGAAGATAATCCAAAATCAATTACGTCGTGGAAGCGGAACTTCAGTTAAAGCCGGTCATCGGCGGTTTAACGCCTATCACGAAACTGTCTGTTCAGCCCGCTCGCAGGCTCTCGTGTTTCTGTTTGGCCTTATGACCCCTCTTCCGAGCACAGCAGACTATTACACCATCGGCAGCCGCGTATGAAAAAAGTTCTTGAAACCCTTGACTGGGAGGGTTACGCCCTAACATTAGCAAGAATATTTTCATTACTGTCCGTATACATTTCCTAAGGTATTGACTTGGATAATTTGTTCAACACTTAAAGAGTTTCTCTGGTCAGCGATTACCTCCTTTATCCCCAGGATCAGGACCTTTATGTTAAAACAGGCAGTGGTTATGAGATCCTAGCAGCCCTTCCTGATTAGGGGTTAACCACCTCTATCCGCCTCTTTCCACAAAAATTGAAAACATCGAAAACCACAGTTAATCCCGAACACCATTCGTTGCATGCCATGTTTGCAGTATTACAACCGGATGCTGTTGGAATTTCTATTGGAATTCAAATATCGACGTAACGGAAAAATAAAGAAAACTAAATTCCGAGTCATGTGTCAAATCTTTTTGAAAAAGCCCATGGCTAAACCCTAATTTATCATGTAACACAAAACTTTGGTATGCCTGTAGTCGCTTATGGGTTAGACTTTTTATCGTTAAGTTTCCTTGCAATAAGCTCTCTCTTCTCCAAACCTTCACACCGTATCATATATAAGATCAGTATGTAGATTATCCATACTATTTTCTATAAATTTCTTAAGGTGCTGACAGGGAAAATTAGTATTCTGATGGCGCGTTGAAGAGGTTTGCGTGGCATCATGAAAGTTTCGGATAATTTAAGCGTTTCGCGGGAAAATTAAGTTATTCTAGGTCGGTAAGTCTTATGTTTGACCACTTTCCTTTTTGTATTTGTTGTAATTTTGGTATTCCAACTCCCTGTAAAATATCATTACATCATTGATTTTTCTTTGTGATTAGTAGTGCAACCAGGTCAGTTTCCCCTTTCCTCAGGGTATTGTCCTGCTGTATTCGATGAGGATTACGATTCCACACATTTTTTGGCAACATCTAAAGAGTGGTTTTTTAGAGGTTTTTCGCATCTGGCGTAGGACAGGTTCGTTTTGTTGACTCTTAGTTTTAGGGTGCACGTATTAAGATTGTATCAGGATGCGTATACTAGAAGACTGACTGACTCATTCCAAATAAACTTTTCACATTGAATGTCTCGTGTAAGGGTATTCAGAATAAGATAGGAGATGAAACCTCTTCCAATAATTCGTTTTCGCTTGACAGAGAGGGGGAACTGAGAAGGCCATGGAAAAATGTTTCTCTCTTTGTCTCTTTTAGAGGGTGGGGGACTCAGCTTGCTGTGCATTTTAAATACGTCATGGATCGTCCATATTTGCAAGACACTGTCCTCGATTGCGAAAATCATTTAAATAAATTTTGTTCTGCATTACTCAAAAATGAAAAAGTTATAACATTTTTAGTACTGATTTTGCTGGTTGAGCAACAGTTATACTTTGGGTTTTTTTATGCATAAAGCTTAGAGCATACAAAAGACAGACATTACCCGACCAGGTTCTATGTTTCACATAATAAGGGGCTTGAATCCACTTTGACGGGATATGGCGGCCACCATACCCGCACGACACGCAACACATTTCCTTGTAAACTTGATGCACAAAAAAGTTTAGTCTTAATGGTCTCCAGATCTTTTTTGGCATATCATACATACTTAATTTTCGAGCCGTCTGCCATAAAAATCATCTAAAACAATTTATGAAAGCTTTGGGCATTCGCCATAACTGCTGCAGTTATTTCCCGCCAGTGGACTTACCCCTAGTCCTCTCAGGCCATCTGCCTAATAGGCTGAAAGAAGACTGGAGGCGATTCAAACAAAATGGCGGCCGGATTGTTGATAAGTGGTGCTCGTCAAAATATTCCTCAAAAAGAGGATTATTAACGCTTTTCTGGAAAAAAGATCGGATCGATTGAGAACTTCTTTATCATTGTATTAAGTGGAAATAGTTTATTGCATCAGTCAGATAACGCATAAGTGGATTTTCATCGTCTGTTTCTCACCGTGTACAAAATATAGCATCCTAAGACTTCGTAGTATTTTTGGCTTAGATATTACCATGGGGATCAACTATCGAGGCGCTTAATGTGGGGATCAGAGAAGTAAAATCCTGATTGCCAAGGATAACTGGTTGTTATTGACACTTATATTATCATCGAAAGAGCCCATCTTTGGAGTGTACGCCGTGGGTCAAATATGTCTGACACTGTCATCTCATTAACGGCTTCTCTTGTGCGGGAGTATCTTAGCCGAAAGGTAAGCTTTGGTTTTTTCTTAGTTTTGAAAAAAAAACTGAAAGAGTTTAAATTTCACGTCCTTCATTCATCGCGATAAGATGGCGATGAAATGATTAAGCTCGAGGTCTTTCGATGCACCGAACTCAAGCCAAGGTGTCGCGTTCTAGACGATTATAAATAATAGATTTACAGGTATATGATTTAAAATAACGATCCATTTGTGCTTGTGTATTTTGTTGCCATTTATATGAATCAACGTTTCTTGTAAGCCCAATATTTCAAGACTTTTCTTTCTATTTTTCTTATGTAAGTTACTAAAGCTATGAAACAATATAATTACCTTGCGTGACGAAATCTACATTTAAGAAAAATCGTTTGCAAAAGATACATTTTGTAATCCAGAAAACCTGCTAACTAGTATCCCATATATAGTAATGTGCTTAAGTGATGATCATTTTCCTCTCTTTGAAAACTTCATGGATAGAGGCTGGTCTTCATTGCCAGATATAATTTTCCCTTAACCCTTTACACCCTAATATCAGTATGCATATTCTCCATACTGTTCTCTATACATTTCTTAGTGTGCCGACAAGGAGAGTTTGTTTGACAATCAAGAGCTGTTTTAGTTGGTGAATTCACAATTCCCTTTATTTTTGTGACCTCAATGTGTATGTTCAGGGGGTGCCAATATTGTAAAGGAGAAATTAGATGCTACTCCCTCTAAGGGGTCAAAGAGTTAAACAAGGGGGGAGGGGGGGGCAAATGGTAACCTCTAACAACAAAAATTACTGTTTACTATTTATAATGATAATTCTAAAACCAGTTTTGTTCAATATTTTGTTCATTGTTTTGATGTTCTTAATATAATTATTATAGGGATTAAAGAACACACTGCAAACCTTGGATAAGGAGATGCCCAGGACTGATTATAGGTATGGAAATTTAATGTTTAACTTATCGTTTCTTGTAAAACCCTGGAATATCAGTTGATTATGCAGTCTTATCTTTGAGGCCTGGGTTATTCAAAGGGCTACTAATGCTACCAGATAATTGAATGGATAAATCCCTGTCCAGCAGATAAACGGCTATCTAGCAGGAGTGTTAACCCTTTAACTGCCAAGATCTGATTGTTAATTCTTCCCTTTAGCTGCATTTTTTTGTGTCGGTTGAGTGTTCTAAGTCAAGTTCAAGAAAACCTATTGGTTAGTTTTGCTGGGAAATTATCACCTGTGAAAATTAAGGATTGTTAATGTTGATTGTGATGGGTCAGTTTTGATCCCTTAGTAAATTTAGGTCAGTTTGTTCCTGTAAACTGTACAGTATTGAAGTATGACAATGATTCAAATTTGATGAATTTTGCAAGTTTTAACTGTACATTTAAAGTATTAATTTAATTTTTTTTATCGCAATGCTCTAATTTACTTTGTTTTTCTCCTAGTATCAGCAACCGCATTCAACTTGCAAAAGAAATGCACATTGAAAAGCTCATGAAAAAGAACAAGGTATGATTGTTCAATTTTTTCAGTTGATGTTGAATTTATCATTTTCTTTATTGCCAGTGGAAGGGGGACAATCTTTGGGTATTTTTTAGGCAAAATACATTGTACTTTCCCATACATGATGTGATTAGTCAGCTTAAAGAAAAGCAAAACCAATGAAAGTGATGTTAATTGTTACTTAAATTCAATATTATGGCTGATTTTGACAGTTGTGAAGCTTGTGGTCTTGATTAGTAAATCATGTAATTATGAATTATGTTCAATTTATATAGTTACCAAATGACACTCTTATTGGCCCAAAGTATTTCTTTTAGTTTAAGA